AGGCGACACATACAGTTCCGAGGAACTCTTGTTTAATGTAGAAATGATGTTAAATTTTTTAGTTATTATTTGATGAATATTGCTCGACAGTTGTATGTCTGCAACATATCTGTAACTTTAACAAGGTGAGATACTGGACTCCTACCTCCACACGTCCTGTAGAACATATAATGTAATAATAGGAATTCATTTGTAAATCAACCAATTAATGTTGTTTACTTTAAAGGCTTGAATTGTTCAGTAAATGAGGTATTTCTTAATGAGAGAGTTATTTATAAACAGGTTATTCTGTTTTGTTGTGTGAGATAGGTCATCTGTATTGAGTTATTGAATGAATGAGTTGTTTACAACTGAGAAATTTATTTTAATGAAAGAATTAGAAAAGTGAATGAAAGTTGACAGTATTTGAATGAATAAGTTATTAAGATATGAGAACATTGTTTAAGGGATTGACAGCCATACTGATGTTTATACTACATTGTCTAAATGCTTCCATCATACAGAACACCTGGCATTTAACAGGTGTAACAGCTAGTGTCATTTGTACTCATTTACATGTCTGTTATGTGTAGTAAATGTGATGTCTGTTGATCAGAGACAATTTGATAGAGAATTTGTTGTGTAAATGTGTGTAAAAGATAGTTGACACAAAGTGTAATTTAGTCTGAACACTAGTTTATGATAAGGATATATGAGAAATCAGCAGTGAGATAGTTAACACAGCAATGAGTTGATGTGTGTTGTTTTTGATTCTTATGTCCTGTCTACAGTTTAATGTAAAAATCCCACTCTGCTATAGAACAGTCATGTCTCGTTTTATAAATTAACAGCTTGGTTGTAATGGTTTCAGTCTTAAGATTTAAATCTTACTTCACAATTTCACAATTTCTCCTCTATTACATCATAAAGACGATGTATGCACTTAAAAATTCATTTAGCACTGTGTTAGAGTATTATCACTTTTTGGCAAATAAGTGCATGTGTAATAGCACGATCAAATTTTAGTGTAAGATTTTTAATATTTTTTGTGTGAAAAATGCTGAAGATAGACTGAGTACATTTACAATATTTGCTCACGTTCATTTTTGGAATACTTATAACTAAAATATAATAAATTGTGTGAAAAACATCTGTAATCTCTCTATTTTGATGTTTTGTAATTATTTATTTCTGAAACAGATACCTGGTATAACCTAGGGATGTTGCAAATTTTACTTTCTCACGAGATGTAGATATATAAATCTCTACATAAACTAAAGGATGTAGTCACATTTACAAGCACAAAATTTTTTTATTAGCTTTGTGTATAGTTTTCAGTGATCACAAGCTGGAATTTGTGTTTCACGGAATCCTCCTGTTCTGAAGTACCATCATGACGTGGAAATCACTACAATCCTAACCCACGTGTATCACAAAGTGAAATTCAGGGATGTTACAAATTAGAAAATTTCCGAGAATTCACAAATGAAATTTTACCAGATATTGTTAATAGGAATAGTAGTTATCATCATTATAATTAAAAATAGCATTAGAGAAAACACAATCTGTTTGAGTGATTAATTGTTGTACATGTGATGTTAATCTGTAATAAACTTCATCTTCAATTCAAGTTGTGTGTTTATCTGTTTTATAACACTATTAAAGATTTTTTCCTGCATTTGGTGCTGCCATTGTAGGAATTCACCTTCGACATATATTCTTGCTGTATTCCTGTATTCAGCAGTGATGAAAAACACTGTCCTAGCACATAGATTGGTTGAACAAAAGTACATTATGACTAACGTTTAGGAATAAAAATAATGGTTTCAGTATGTGATTAGGTTAAACAAACTCAGTACGCATAGCCTATTGAGACGGCCTTTCAGACAAAATTTACTGATCCTGGCCTTCTCATTGGCTGAAATATCGAAAAGAGTTAGAGCCCTCTAGTGGCAATTTTCTGCGTAAATAATGCCGCAATTTTTCAAATCGCTATTTTTTTATTTGTTGTAACCAACAAGTCTGTTTACAAAAATTCATCTATTCCTTTTTACATGCGTTAAAGTATGGAACTATATTTTTGCACAAAGCATTTATTTTGATGTACAACATCAAGCACAAGTCAGAATCAAATAAACAGAGATTGAATAGGTTTAACAAACTTGAAGTATTGTAAGTATGAATTTTTCAAAAATGTTGCATGAAAAACAAATTGCATTATCAGTGTCTCAAAATAAAAGCTCTTTTTTTCTTGAAACAGAAAGACAAAGGTTTTTATCAAATTATGACCAGTCTTGTATATTTACCTATGCATGTAGTTATCTGTTGTAAGAGTTAAGGGGACAATTTAAGTTGTCTGTTATAAGACTGATATATATCTACATCGTTCTATCTGTAGGTTTGATTTGAGTGTGACCCTATATGACCTTGTCCTAGATTTGATCTGAGTGTGACCCTGTATTTCATTGTCCTGTCTGTAGGTTTGATCTCAAAGTGTCCTTGTACGACATTGTCCTGTCTGTAGGTTTGATTTGAGTGTGACCCTATATGACATCTTCCTGTCTGTAGGTTTGATCTGCGTGTGACCCTATATGACATCGTCCTTCCTGTATGTTTGTTCTGAGTCTGACCCTATATGACATCGTCCTGTCTGTAGGTTTGATCTGAGTGTGACCCTATATGACATCATCCTGCCAGTAGGTTTGATCTGAGTGTGACCCTATATGACCTTGTCCTAGATTTGATCTTAGTGTGACATTCTATGACTGGTTCTGCCTGAGTGTTTGATAATGTGATTCTGCATGACCTTGTCCTAGATTTGATCTTAGTGTGACCCTGTATGACCTTGTCCTAGATTTGATCTTAGTGTGACCTTGTATGACCTCATCCTAGATTTGATCTTAGTGTGACCCTGTATGACCTTGTCCTAGATTTGATCTTAGTGTGACCCTGTATGACCTTGTCCTAGATTTGATCTTAGTGTGACCCTGTTTGACATCGTCATTCCTGCAGGTTTGATCTTTTGTGACCCTATATGACATCGTCCTGCCTGTAGGTTTGATCTGAGTGAGACCCTATATGACCTTGTCCTAGATTTGATCTTAGTGTGACCCTGTATGACCTTGTCCTAGATTTGATCTTAGTGGAACACTATATGACTTCATCCTAGGTTTGATTTTAGTGTGACCTTGTATGACATCGTCCTTCCTGTAGGTTTGATTTCAATGTGTCCTTGTATGACATTGTCCTGTCTGCAGGTTTGATCAAAGTGTCCTTGTATGACATTGTCCTGTCAGTAGGTTTGATCTCAAAGTGTCCTTGTATGACATTGTCCTGTCTGTATCTTTGATCTTAGTGTAATCCTGTATGACATTGTCCTGTCAGTAGGTTTGATCTCAAAGTGTCCTTGTATGACATTGTCTTGTCTGTATCTTTGATCTTGTGTGACCCTATATGACATTGTCCTGCCTGTAGGTTTGATCTCAAAGTGTCCTTGTATGACATTGTCCTGTCTGTATCTTTGATCTTAGTGTAATCCTGTATGACATTGTCCTGCCTGTAGGTTTGATCTCAAAGTGTCCTTGTATGACATTGTCCTGTCTGTATCTTTGATCTTAGTGTGACCCTATATGACATTGTCCTGCCTGTAGGTTTGATCTCAAAGTGTCCTTGTATGACATTGTCCTGTCTGTATCTTTGATCTTAGTGTGACCCTATATGACATTGTCCTGTCTGTAGTTTTGATCTTAGTGTAATCCTGTATGACATCGTCCTGCCTGTAGGTTTGATCTTAGTGTGACACTATGACATTGTCCTGTCTGTAGGTTTGATCTTAGTGTGACCCTGTATGACATTGTCCTGCCTATAGGTTTAATCTTAGTGTGACACTGTATGACATCGTCCCTCCTGTAGGTTTGATCTCAAAGTGTCCTTGTATGACATTGTCCTGTCTGTAGGTTTGATCTTAGTGTGAACCTGTATGAAATCGTCCTGTCTGTAGTTTTGATCTTAGTGTGATCCTGTATGACGTCATTCTTCATGTGATCGATCATAACCTCGCCCTATGTGTGATCGCATTGTAACCCTGAATTACCTCTTACTTTGTGTAGCCTTATGTGATCTCGCTCTGTGATAGGTTATGTCCCCTGTACTTGCTTTTTGTTCGGTTTCTTTTTAAAGGCGAACGCTGTCTCCAAACCCCAATGGGAGAAACAAGTTACTAAGTGATCTTGATAACACTCCGTATTCTCGGATCAAAGGATTTGGTCCAGAGAATTTTTAGAACAAGGGGATAGAAGAAGAATTCCCGATACTTTTTCTTCGTTCATGGTGTATTAGTTGTTTGCTTATAAGGTACCGTATTTTACCGCAAATTAGTCCCCACTCAGTTCAAAAAAGACTTGTCAAAAAGGGGAGGGGCTTATTTGCGGGCAATCCCCCTGTTCACGAGATGTACGTAGGTCTGAGCCCCTCGTGGTCAGAGTGGTAGGACAGAATAGGCTGAATACAACAAACATTTTTCCCTCTTCTGTATGGATTTTACAATGAGGTCCAAATTTTTATCTGTATTGTCTTTGGGTGAAGTGGAACCAAATGTGTACGAGCCATTTATCTTAGCATCATGGAGATTAAAAGATATTGGTTCCTTTATATTGATATCAGGGTCTTATCCAAATCAAGTCTTGAACCTTGAACATTATGCTCAACGACGCTCATTTTTACAAGCACATAGCCGTTTCGCATTCTGAACGGTTCTAACTAAAGTAATTGAATTTAAGCGTTACTGTGACCAGACGTCTGTTAAAACCGGGCGGGTGATACAGACATAATGGGCCTCTTATTCAAAATAGATATCTTGGAATTCATATGAATCATATAGACCACGTTCAAGTGTTGTAAGTGTTTAATCGTAAATATTTATTAGGCGGAAATAATATAGACAGGGAAATTGTCCCGCTTCAAGTAAACTGTCGAACAAACAACTAGGATCGTGTGTTAGATTGTTAAATTGTTACAACTTGGAACGTGTTAGTACAGCGAAATCGGTACAAACGCCAAACTGAAGTAAAACCAAGAACTGATACGACACAGTAAAACGTTATGAATTGTACCAAAACCCTGCGTCTCTACCTCCTAGTACTTGGTTCTCTCTCACATGGAATCTTGTGTGGTAAGTAATCAAAAAATATTTTTAACTTCGCATTTTTGCTTTCAGTTTTATCAAGTTTTGTTAGTTCGAATGATAGAGAGCATGCGCAGAGTGTTTACTGTCTCCGGAGTGTTATTATAGGAGTAAGCGGGAATGCATGAAAAGCCACGTAGACGCAGCCTTATACCTTCACGGTCGAACAGGCTTAGTTGGATTGCGTGACGCCATATGGATGTAGGAAAGTACCCACCTGGATCGAATAATATAGTCATCTCTCTCCGGAGGACTTGATAATTGGCTATATTCTGTCTGACTGGACAGTCTGCTATCTCATCCAGTTGTACGATTTTGTATATATTTTGTTGAAATGTCAAATAGGTGAAATGGACTAAGCATGATCTGTATAGATAGACTTGGCAGATCTGTATAGATAGACTTGGCAGATCTATATAGATAGACTTGGCAGATCTGTATAGATAGACTTGGCAGATCTATATAGATGGACTTGGCAGATCTGTATAGATAAACTTGGCAGATCTGTATAGATGGACTGGCGGATCTGTATAGATAGACTTGGCAGATCTGTATAGATAGACTTGGCAGATCTGTATAGATAAACTTGGCAGATCTGTATAGATGGACTGGCGGATCTGTATAGATAGACTTGGTAGATCTGTATAGATAGACTTGGCAGATCTGTATAGATGGACTGGCGGATCTGTATAGATAGACTTGGCAGATCTGTATAGATAGCCTTGGCAGATCTGTATAGATAGACTTGGCAGATCTGTATAGATGGACTGGCGTATCTGTATAGATAGACTTGACAGATCTGTATAGATAGACTTGACAGATCTGTATAGATGGACTTGGCAGATCTGTATAGATAGACTTGGCAGATCTATATAGATAGACTTGACAGATCTGTATAGATAGACTTGACAGATCTGTATAGATAGACTTGGCAGATCTGTATAGATGGACTTGGCAGATCTGTATAGATAGACTTAGCAAAATCTACTTTGCACCATAAGAAAGAAGTATGTTTTTTGATGTGACGTCCTTTATGCATTGTTATATAGAACGGACAAAGATGAAATGTGTAACTGGTTTCAGTACAGGAAATTTACGTACAAAATAAAATTGTAAAATATTTAAAAAGCACCATTTTCTGTGCAAAAATTTAAAAAGTGGTTTTGGGGGAAAATGCTTCAATATCATTTCTTCTTTTTTTAAAAGAAAACTAAACATGAATATGCTGACAATAACATGTTTGATATCATATCTGCAAAACAAGAAATCATAGATTTAAATACCTTGGGAACAGGGAATAAAAATGTGATAGCTTTGAGAAAGAACCTGCTCATTTTACCTTAACCGAAATTTTCTGAAAGTGAACAACTCAACTTCCTATTGAAGTCTATTCGTAATTATGTGCTAAAAACATTTTCAAACAGTATAAAAACTGTCCAAAAAGTAATTAGAAATTTTGTGCAAAATACTTAAAATTGATTGACAATATTGCTTTTTTAAGGAAAAACAAACTAAGGGGAAAATCTGATTTGGATTGGGGTATTGTAAAGTGAAGCGAAATAAAATGTTGACATTTGGGTTTTTTAGTACAAAGATTCTATCACCTACACTGATAAAACTCTAAAGTAGAATTTCAACTTTCAAAATGGCCGTCATGTTCTCTGATAACTACAAAAATTAAATGTTCTTACAACCACTGATTCAATATTCTAACAAGAATGCTAAATGATAGAATGAAGTTGGTTTACACATGAAACCACTTTATCTGGTTTTCAAATACTAGTAACTCGTTTCCGTCCTAGCTCTTTTGAATTTTGGATGCAAAGACTTACTGGTTTCCAAATGCACATAGTATCCTAAATAGTACAGGATAGTGACTATTTTGGCACATTCTAACATAGTTCTCTGTCCGACAGGACAGTGGCAATAATAATCTTTTATGTGATTAGGGGCGTCGGAACTGTCATGTTGGATCCAAGTATTGTACTTTACATTGCTCTCATGCCTCGAGTGGATCTGACATCGTACAAGGAGTGCCGATAGTTCTAGATCTCGTAGTCCCAATCATCACTGAGGTGCTCAATTTTGTCGCCAGCTGCCAATGATATGTGCCACTTTGTAAAGTCACATATATCCACAGTAGCACCTACTTTGATAAATCGTAACTTGGCCCTTCTGGTAAGATCTGCTCATTTTGCACATGCTGAGCTAAGTTGTTGAGAACACTAAGCCGCGCTTTCATTTTGGCAGCCAGTGCCCTATATTTAGCATCTTGATCTTGTTTTATAACATATATGGGTCCGCCGATTCCATTGAGGCAGACTTTTCTATTACATCAATAGATTAGTTGGAGGCAAGTTGTGTTTTGAAAAACAGACATTGCTTGAATGTCTAGGGTATGACTCCACTACCCATCTGTATTTAGTTATTGATCTGTCAAGGTTAGCTTATAGGTCGTTATGTTCAGTCTGCCCAGATTTTAGATAAGACTGTATATTTGTTGTCAAAACACGTGATCCGGAATCTGGCTAAACATCCCTTAAACCTCGATCAACAACGACATTGTCATCTTTCTCCAGTCAGTAGATACTATCCGTGATGTGTTTTGTAATCTTCGCATCATTATCGCTGCCAGGAAAAGGCCCTGCTGTGTCAAGAATGTAACCATCAGACAGGGCTATGCTCATCAACTTCAAATAGTGTTCCGCTTCTTCTGGCCTCTCTAGGAAGTTCTCTGGAGCTCATGATCAGAACTCCTAGAAATAAATATACATGTACCGTCAAATATGACAGTCGCTCATCGACCAAGAAATGCTTCTGAGAAGTTGACAGTGTTGTGCTCCAGAATATTCTCTCTTGTAAGATGTTCATGTCCAGGGAACAAAGGAATAATAATTAATTCTGATATGTCCGTCTTCATTTTTACCCGGAACAACAGTAGTGCATCCTCTTGGCTTGGAGTGTTAAGACCAGTGCCAATAGAGGATGCATAAACAGAAAGAATATTTTGAAACTTGTCCAACTTGTCCCGGCTTTACAATCTGCATCAGAAAGGAGAAACTGCGAGTAAATGGAGACTCTTTGATAGCATGTGTGATATCCCCAAAAGATCATTAATGGTTTCCTTTGATCAGGAAGGTAGCTGGGAAGTCAACATTTTTCTTTTATAAGCGCGGATATCAACGTTAGGGGGTTAAGGCCGTTCTCTAAGAGATGATGTGAACAAATACGTTAGGACCAAGGACACCACAGCTTGTGATGAAAGATGAGTTGGTGTCTTGCGCGCTTGGGCAATATAGTTTAGTTTTGATTGAAACATTTTGCGTGGGACGACTGGCCATAAAAAAGATCCTCTATGTTTAATAGTGGGATGTATCATCAGCATTAACGTATCGACCTTGAGGTTATGAGTTTCTTTTCTTGCTATTCTTTTAACACATACCAATCTCTTGCTCATCAGTAAAGTCAAATCAAATAACCAATTGTACTGGGGAAGCCTTATATTTCTGACAGATTTCTTGATTGTAATGTCTCCTAAAGACAACTTTACAACCCGTACCTACACATCTACGTCTCGTTGTGAGAACGGTACTGTGTTAGGTGTTTAAAGTCTCCGTCTTAGTAGAACGTGTAAAAGTTAATATGAAAAGAAAAAATCTATGATATTGGGGTATATGAAGTATACAATAGATTGCTGGAAAATTTGTAAAGTAAATATCGCTTATATGATATGTTGTATTTAACAACCTTATTACAATTGATAGAACAGTAATTCAAGGACATGTCGGCATTACTTGTATGAGTATTAGGGGTATATATTAGGAAAGGCACGTGTACATGAAGGTTTGGAGTCTAACAGGGTAGCTTCAACAAATCATTGGGGTGATACGCGTCAAAGCAAATAAACAATACTTTGCACAAATGGTGAAGTTTCGATTTTTGGGTAGGGTTACAGCAAGAGATATAGCTATCTATATGCTAAATGATTTTGAACGGACTGAATATGGAAAACATTTCAAAATGTCATTTGTTCACAAAACATGGACTTTATTTCTCACAAATTGTTAAAATAATTAATAATATTGGCGGCATACTCACTGTTTTAGTATGTTGGTATTAAGTTTATGTTATGGTTCAAATTTGCCTATTTCGTTAAAATGATTAATTATCTTTAATCTGTTTTGTGACACTCGGCGTTCATAGTTTAGTAATTTAGTTACATAATTAGTGACTTAGGCAAGTGAGCCATCGATAAATTTTGATTAAATGTAAAACTAAGGGAACCAATTTGATGGCACAAAGCAATGTATTGGTGAGTGGCCTCGAAGGGCGAAACAAATATTTAGGCCTCTATGGGAAATTAGTATTGACGGAAACCCCACATTTTAAACTTCTCGGATGAACCAACATATGTGTCTTACAATTATGAAATTTTGATTTCACCAGCGCGATTTGATATTTCCAAATATTATTCCATTTTAGTTTGCTCATCATACAAATTGGTGTTATGCTAATATATTTTTTATTATTGACTCAGTTAGTCATTTTTACCAACAGACTTATACCGGAAGTTATTGATCGACATCACAAATATGAATTCTGCAAAGACGTCGCGAGTTCCAAGTAGTGATATTGTAGATCTTGCATGGGAACGCATGATAAGTTTCATAAAACTCATTTGACATTCTATTAGACTGATACAGCCTTTTTTGTGACACTATGAAACTATGACGTCACAATGGAAAAGTGGAACCTTCAGCCACTACGTCATGTATAGTAACAGAGACGACATAGACAAATTTTATAACTTAGTGAACTAAATGGAATCTATAAATTGGAGTGGTTATCGATGTTATCATGGATTCTGTGAACATTTTCTCAATCATTCTTCTCATCCATGTTATTGGTGATCTACATACAAAGTGTTCACATGGACAGACATCATGTAGCGTAAAGCTAATACCACGTCTGTGATTACTTGAAAGAAAATAAGTACGTTATACCACTTCATATTTTAGAATACATCGCACCTGCTTCTATGATATTTTACTGCGAACTGCGATAGGGTCAATATTATATTGTATTCAATTCGATGGTCTTACGACAGGAAAATCTAATAAGGAAGGTAGTTATACCTTATCTAAATAGGATAAACACTACAATTTGAAATAGAGTTATGATTTAATGGCAAAACATATAAAAGTTGTTTCGATTGGTTTAAAACATTCAGACCTAAATTCTGTGTAGTAATTTACTAGACACGTTTAATCCCTTTAAATACTTGAACATATTTCCTTTTCAACTATTTTCCGCAAATTTTGTTTGTATACTTTGTCGCTAGACAGGAAGTATTATGTGTGGAAAATGGACGAGAGGTCACGTACGTGGAAGTTAGATAGAGGACTCGAGTGGAAAGACTTCACAACAGGTCATTCAGCTCTTCGTTCAATATAGTTTCGTTTCCGTTGACACGAGGGTCAAACAGGCTCTTTTAAAGTTAAGTGCCCTTTCACTTTACGTCAAGTTTGTTTAACATTAGGGTGAAGGAATATAATGATGCTTGGACAATAGAGACCTCAGCATCCTAGTGTTGAAGGCTATCCACAATACCAAGAGAGATTTATTGCAAAAGACAAGGTCCAAAATTGTTAAATAGCCCCCATCAATGTCTAAATGGCATATTTCGTACTGAATACAGACTAACTTTTATTTGAAGTAAAAATAAATAAATAGATTGATAAACTTGCATATGTAGAACTTAAAATCGGAGTACAAGTTGGCCACTTAAATGTTTTTTGGGACTTCTGTTGTAGAAGTAGATCTCTAAAATGTATTTCTGAGAATGCAAATCGGGTTCTCAAATTGGATTACAAGTAATCCCTTAATAAGCCACGAGTCAGCAGGAAGTATTAAATGTTAACAAATATTAGTTTTTACAATACATTAGAATAATCAGTTGCTAATATCACTTTAAAAATACAAAGGTAGAACGTTTTGTTTCATAATCGAACTACAATCACAGACGAAGCATCCTCAGATTAACAAAAATAACTCTGTCACTTTATCTAATCATGGAATGATTCCGAAACTCTGTGTCACTTTATCTAATCATGGAATGATTCCGAAACTCTGTGTCACTTTATCTAATCATGGAATGATTCCGTAACTCTGTGTCACTTTATCATGGAATGATTCCGTAACTCTGTGTCACTTTATCTAATCATGGAATGATTCTGTAATTCTGTGTCACTTTATCTAATCATGGAATGATTCTGTAATTCTGTGTCACTTTATCTAATCATGGAATGATTCTGTAATTCTGTGTCACTTTATCTAATCTTGGAATGATTCCGTAACTCTGTCACTTTATCTAATCATGGAATGATTCCGTAACTCTGTGTCACTTCATCTAATCATGGAATGATTCTGTAACTCTGTGTCACTTCATCTAATCATGGAATGATTCTGTAACTCTGTGTCACTTTATCTAATCTTGGAATGATTCCGTAACTCTGTGTCACTTCATCTAATCATGGAATGATTCTGTAACTCTGTGTCACTTTATCTAATCATGGAATGATTCTGTAATTCTGTGTCACTTGATCTAATCTTGGAATGATTCTGTAATTCTGAGTTATTTTCCCTAATCATGAAATGATTCTGTAACTCTGTGTCACTTTATCTGATCATGGAATGATTCTGTAATTCTGAGTCACTTTATCTAATCTTGGAATGATTCTGTAATTCTGTGTCACTTCATCTAATCATGGAATGATTCTGTAACTCTGTGTCACTTTATCTAATCATGGAATGATTCTGTAATTCTGTGTCACTTTATCTAATCATGGAATGATTCTGTAACTCTGTGTCACTTTATCTAATCTTGGAATGATTCCGTAACTCTGTGTCACTTCATCTAATCATGGAATGATTCTGTAACTCTGTGTCACTTTATCTAATCATGGAATGATTCTGTAATTCTGTGACACTTTATCTAATCTTGGAATGATTCTGTAATTCTGAGTTATTTTCCCTAATCATGAAATGATTCTGTAACTCTGTGTCACTTTATCTGATCATGGAATGATTCTGTAATTCTGAGTCACTTTATCTAATCTTGGAATGATTCTGTAATTCTGTGTCACTTTATCTAATCATGGAATGATTCTGTAATTCTGTGTCACTTTATCTAATCATGGAATGATTCTGTAACTCTGTGTCACTTTATCTAATCTTGGAATGATTCCGTAACTCTGTGTCACTTCATCTAATCATGGAATGATTCTGTAACTCTGTGTCACTTTATCTAATCATGAAATGATTCTGTAACTCTGTGTCACTTTATCTGATCATGGAATGATTCTGTAATTCTGAGTCACTTTATCTAATCTTGGAATGATTCTGTAATTCTGTGTCAGTTCATCTAATCATGGAATGATTCTGTAACTCTGTGTCACTTTATCTAATCATGGAATGATTCTGTAATTCTGTGTCACTTGATCTAATCTTGGAATGATTCTGTAATTCTGAGTCATTTTCCCTAATCATGAAATGATTCTGTAACCCTGTGTCACTTTATCTTATCATGAAATGATTCTGTAATTCTGAGTCATTTTCAGTAATCATGAAATGATTCTGTAACTCTGTGTCACTTTATCTAATCATGGAATGATTCTGTAACCCTGTGTCACTTTATCTAATCTTGGAATGATTCTGTATTTCTGAGTCATTTTCAGAAATCATGAAATGATTCTGTAACTCTGTGTCACTTTATCTTATCATGGAATGATTCTGTAACTCTGTGTCACTTTATCTTATCATGGAATGATTCTGTAACTCTGTGTCACTTTATCCAATCATGGAATGATTTTGTAATTCTGTGTCACTTTATCTAATCATGGAATGATTCTGTAACTCTGTGTCACTTTATCTAATCTTGGAATGATTCCGTAACTCTGTGTCACTTTATCTAATCATGAAATGATTCTGTAACTCTGTGTCACTTTATCTAATCATGGAATGATTCCGTAACTCTGTGTCACTTTATCTAATCATGGAATGATTCTGTAACTCTGTGTCACTTTATCTAATCATGGAATGATTTTGTAATTCTGTGTCACTTTATCTAATCATGGAATGATTTTGTAATTCTGTGTCACTTTATCTAATCATGGAATGATTCTGTAACCCTGTGTCACTTTATCTAATCTTGGAATGATTCTGTATTTCTGAGTCATTTTCAGAAATCATGAAATGATTCTGTAACTCTGTGTCACTTTATCTTATCATGGAATGATTCTGTAACTCTGTGTCACTTTATCTTATCATGGAATGATTCTGTAACTCTGTGTCACTTTATCCAATCATGGAATGATTTTGTAATTCTGTGTCACTTTATCTAATCATGGAATGATTCTGTAACTCTGTGTCACTTTATCTAATCTTGGAATGATTCCGTAACTCTGTGTCACTTTATCTAATCATGAAATGATTCTGTAACTCTGTGTCACTTTATCTAATCATGGAATGATTCCGTAACTCTGTGTCACTTTATCTAATCATGGAATGATTCTGTAACTCTGTGTCACTTTATCTAATCATGGAATGATTTTGTAATTCTGTGTCACTTTATCTAATCATGGAATGATTCTGTAACTCTGTGTCACTTTATCTAATCATGGAATGATTCCGTAACTCTGTGTCACTTTATCTAATCATGGAATGATTCTGTAACTCTGTGTCACTTTATCTAATCATGGAATGATTTTGTAATTCTGTGTCACTTTATCTAATCATGGAATGATTCTGTAACTCTGTGTCACTTTATCTAATCATGGAATGATTCCGTAACTCTGTGTCACTTTATCTAATCATGGAATGATTCTGTAACTCTGTGTCACTTTATCTAATCATGGAATGATTCTGTAACTCTGTGTCACTTTATCTAATCATGGAATGATTCTGTAACTCTACTGCATATGATGTAGTGTGTGTTTTGTATATTATGTAAAGTGTATTGCATATTATATAATGTGTGTACTGTATATTAGGTATTGTGTGTATTGAATATTCATATTTTATGGTAATTAGTTTAGTTTGTTTTTATCAAAAGCATCAGCTTTAAATGCAAAATATGAATTACTATGTGAAGGTATTTTTTATATTAGAAGCAGGTAATGCCACGCATGCGTTAATGGGAACATCAACAACTGATCCCACAGAAAAACCTACAATACATCTCAGCCCAAGGCCTATAGCCTCAGTAGAAATCGGCCACCCCTTGAAACTGACCATGAATATATTATCGGATATATCAACTTCATGGCGCCTCGAGTGGTCAAAAAGTAACACTGGTGTAAATGGTCTTGGGTCGGTCACGTCCTTTCAAATCACAACGTGTCAGGAGAGCGCTAGGATGTCGGACGCATGTCTGCTGAATTCAACACTGGTACGGTTTTATGTTAACAATGCGAATCACGGAGACGTCATCTACTGTGCTGTTTTTATACCAGGGAGCTGGACCTCTGACCAGACTAGGCTCACCACTTTTACTCGGGTATATGTCTACGGTACGTACTACACTAACCATCTCTACACAGTTGTACTAAAGTATATAACGATAAGCTGGTCAACAGTCCCGATAACTCTAACCATCTCTACAGAGATCTATGCCCTCGATAAGTTGTTCACATCGGTTTACCAAACATATCTAACAGATCGTAACGCAGTTTCTAACAGACACCCACTATTTAACAGACACACAGTATATCGCATAAGTGCAACCACTGCGATTGGAATAAGTTACACAGTAAACGATCTTTTAATCTATTCTAGTGCCCGTGGAATCTGTTCGTCTGCAAAGTTCATCTGGAGAAATCTCTGAAGGCCGACTGATAGTGAAAGAGGGAGACAATTTCACGTTACAATGTGACACATCATTAAGTCGCCCGGCGGCTACCATTTCATGGATCAAAGACTCTGTAGACACATCCTGGGCAGGCAGCAAGCCAACCGTATCAAACATCGATGGTTTGTTCTGGACTTCCCAAACCCTAACAATATTGGCTGAGCGGGACCACAGATCGGCGAAGACTTTCATAGTTTGTAATGCTGTTAACGGCAAATCAAACGCCACATCTTCTACACTTGAAATCATCACACTGAGTGAGTACCGACAGCCTTCTACAGTGACAATCGAGTAGTGAAGATCACGTGACTATCGGTACATCTCATTAGATCTTTATGCACGCTGATTGGATAAAATAGGTCAAGACAGTGTTACTCTATTATTGTACTGAGAACTGACCTCTCAGCACACGGTCAATATATCATTGTACTGAGAAGTAACAACTCAACACACGGTCACTCTATCATTGTACTGAGAACTAACTACTCAACACAGTGTTACTCTATCATTGTACTGAGAACTAACAACTCAAAACAGTGTTACTCTATCATTGTACTGAGAAGTAACTACTCAACACAGTGTTACTCTATCATTGTACTGAGAACTAACCTCTCAACACAGTGTTACTCTATCATTGTACTGAGAACTAACAACTCAACACAGTGTTACTCTATCATTGTACTGAGAACTAACCTCTCAGCACACGGTCACTCTATCATTGTACTGAGAACTAACTACTCAACACACGGTCACTCTATCATTGTACTGAGAACTAACTACTCAACACACGGTCACTATATCATTGTACTGAGAACTAACTACTCAACACACGGTCACTCTATCATTGTACTGAGAACTAACCTCTCAACACACGGTCACTCTATCATTGTACTGAGAACTAACCTCTCAGCACACGGTCACTCTATTATTGTACTGAGAACTGACCTCTCAACACACGGTCACTCTATCATTGTACTGAAAACTAACTACTCAACACAGTGTCACTCTATCATTGTACTGAAAACTAACCTCTCAACACACGGTCACTCTATCATTGTACTGAGAACTAACTACTCAACACAGTGTTACTCTATCATTGTACTGAGAACTAGCAACTCAACACAGTGTTACTCTATCATTGTACTGAGAACTAACTACTTAACACAGTGTTACTCTATCATTGTACTGAGAACTAACTACTCAACACACGGTCACTCTATCATTGAACTGAGAACTAACTACTCAACACACGGTCACTCTATCATTGTACTGAGAACTAACTACTCAACACACGGTCACTCTATCATTGTACTGAGAACTAACTACTTAACACAGTGTTACTCTATCATTGTACTGAGAACTAACTACTTAACACAGTGTTACTCTATCATTGTACTGAGAACTAACTACTCAACACAGTGTCACTCTATCATTGTACTGAGAACTAACCTCTCAACACACGGTCACTCTATCATTGTACTGAGAACTAACTACTCAACACACGGTCACTCTATCATTGTACTGAGAACTAACAACTCAAAACAGTGTTACTCTATCATTGTACTGAGAAGTAACTACTCAACACAGTGTTACTCTATCATTGTACTGAGAACTAACCTCTCAACACAGTGTTACTCTATCATTGTACTGAGAACTAACAACTAACACAGTGTTACTCTATCATTGTACTGAGAACTAACTACTCAACACACGGTCACTCTATCATTGTACTGAGAACTAACTACTCAACACAGTGTCACTCTATCATTGTACTGAGAACTAACCTCTCAACACACGGTCACTCTATCATTGTACTGAGAACTAACCTCTCAGCACACGGTCACTCTATCATTGTACTGAGAACTGACCTCTCAACACACGGTCACTCTATCATTGTACTGAGAACTAACTACTCAACACACGGTCACTCTATCATTGTACTGAGAACTAACCTCTCAACACAGTGTTACTCTATCATTGTACTGAGAACTAACTACTCAACACAGTGTCACTCTATCATTGTACTGAAAACTAACCTCTCAACACACGGTCACTCTATCATTGTACTGAGAGCTGACCTCTCAAAACAGTGTTACTCTATCATTGTACTGAGAACTAGCAACTCAACACAGTGTTACTCTATCATTGTACTGAGAACTAACTACTTAACACAGTGTTACTCTATCATTGTACTGAGAACTAACAACTTAACACACGGTCACTCTATCATTGTACTGAGAACTAACTACTCAACACACGGTCACTCTATCATTGTACTGAGAACTAACTACTCAACACACGGTCACTCTATCATTGTACTGAGAACTAACTACTCAACACACGGTCACTCTATCATTGTACTGAGAACTAACCTCTCAGCACACGGTCACTCTATCATTGTACTGAGAACTAACTACTCAACACACGGTCACTCTATCATTGTACTGAGAACTGACCTCTCAACACACGGTCACTCTATCATTGTACTGAGAACTAACTACTCAACACACGGTCACTCTATCATTGTACTGAGAACTAACTACTCAACACAGTGTTACTCTATCATTACTGAGAACTAACAACTCAACACAGTGTTACTCTATCATTGTACTGAGAACTAACAAATCAAAACAGAACACCTCTGTCATACAAGAGAGAAGTAAAAACTCGACACAGTGTTACTCTATCATTGTACTGAGAACTAACAACTGAGAGCTAACAACACAGTGTTACTCTATCATTGTACTGAGAACTAACCTCTCAGCACACGGTCACTCTATCATTGTACTGAGAACTAACCTCTCAACACACGGTCACTCTATCATTGTACTGAGAGCTGACCTCTCAAAACAGTGTTACTCTATCATTATACTGAGAACTAACAACTTAACACACGGTCACTCTATCATTGTACTGAGAACTAACTACTCAACACAGTGTTACTCTATCATTGTACTGAGAACTAACAACTCAACACAGTGTTACTCTATCATTGTACTGAGAACTAACTACTTAACACAGTGTTACTCTATCATTGTACTGAGAACTAACCTCTCCACACAGTGTTACTCTATCATTGTACTGAGAACTAACTACTTAACACAGTGTTACTCTATCATTGTACTGAGAACTAACAACTCAACACACGGTCACTCTATCATTGTACTGAGAACTAACTACTCAACACACGGTCACTCTATCATTGTACTGAGAACTAACTACTCAACACACGGTCACTCTATCATTGTACTGAGAACTAACTACTCAACACAGTGTTACTCTATCATTGTACTGAGAACTAACAACTCAAAACAGTGTTAACAGTGTTACTCTATCATTGTACTGAGAACTAACTACTCAACACAGTGTTACTCTATCATTGTACTGAGAACTAACTACTCAACACTCTGTCACTCTATCATTGTACTGAGAACTAACTACTCAACACACGGTCACTCTATCATTGTACTGAGAACTAACAACTCAACACACGGTCACTCTATCATTGTACTGAGAACTAACTCAACACACTCAACACAGTGTTACTCTATCATTGTACTGAGAACTAACTACTCAACACAGTGTCACTCTATCATTGTACTGAGAACTAACTGAGAACTCAAACACAGTGTCACTCTATCATTGTACTGAGAACTAACTACTCAACACAGTGTTACTCTATCATTGTACTGAGAACTAACTACTCAACACACGGTCACTCTATCATTGTACTGAGAACTAACTACTCAACACACGGTCACTCTATCATTGTACTGAGAACTAACCTCTCAACACACGGTCACTCTATCATTGTACTGAGAACTAACTCAACACACGGTCACTCTATCATTGTACTCAACACAGAACTAACTACTCAACACACGGTCACTCTATCATTGTACTGAGAACTAACTACTCAACACACGGTCACTCTATCATTGTACTGAGAACTAACTACTCAACACACGGTCACTCTATCATTGTACTGAGAACTAACTACTCAACACACGGTCACTCTATCATTGTACTGAGAACTAACTACTCAACACAGTGTCACTCTATCATTGTACTGAGAACTAACCTCTCAACACACGGTCACTCTATCATTGTACTGAGAGCTGACCTCTCAAAACAGTGTTACTCTATCATTATACTGAGAACTAACAACTACTAACACACGGTCACTCTATCATTGTACTGAGAACTAACCAACTCAGCACACGGTCACTCTATCATTGTACTGAGAACTAACTACTCAACACACGGTCACTCTATCATTGTACTGAGAACTAACCTCTCACACACACGGTCACTCTATCATTGTACTGAGAACTAAACTCAACACAACTCTATCATTGTACTGAGAACTCTCTCAACACACGGTCACTCTATCATTGTACTGAGAACTAACTACTCAACACAACACACTGAGAACTAACTACTCAACACACTCTATCATTGTACTGAGAACTGACTACTCAACACACGGTCAATCTATCATTGTACTGAGAACTAACCTCTCAACACACGGTCACTCTATCATTGTACTGAGAACTAACCTCTTAACACACGGTCACTCTATCATTGTACTGAGAAATGACTACTCAACACACGGTCACGTTATCATTGTACTGAAGAATTTCTGTCTACATTGTACTCTCTTGAATTTCTGTTGAGAACTAATTTCTTAACACAGGCACTACCCTGTACTGAGACCTACCCCTGTTTCTGTGGATTACTTGAACAAGGCGGATGTAAGATTGAGTTGGAGTATCGAACCTGAGTCACTGTACCGTGTAAGTTTTGACATGGTGATTGTTCCGGACACAGCTGGACTAACTGTCGGTCCTCCAACGAGACGAGGTGGAGGTAAGTATATCATTGATAAATCAGCGTTATGAATTACACCCCTGAAAAATGTTGAGAAAGGTAGCAGCTTCTTTTGTGTACATCCTTGATTACTACAGTGATCAGAAATTATAACTCACTTCTTATATGCATGATATCAGTACAAAGTCATTATACATGGCGAAAAAAAGGCTTGTTCTATTTGGAGCAATGTTTTGTCTTATAATTGATACATTTTATCCAATTCAATTATACATGGCGAAAAAAAGGCTTGTTCTATTTGGAGCAATGTTTTGTCTTATAATTGATACATTTTATCCAATTCAAGCCAACGTTATTATGCTATTTAGAAAATAGTATTTTCAATAAACCTTCCATACTAAGGCCTTTATACATTATTAGACTGTGAAGCAAATTGTGAAATGAAACAACATGAAATAGATATTAATTGCTAAGAATATCCTAACACAGTTTTTATATACTGACCAAGTGTAATACAATGACCTAATCATTATAACCGACTGGGTCACAATGTCCTACTTATTATAGCCGACTGGGTACAATGTCCCATTTATTATAACAGACTGGGTACAATGTCCTACTTATTATAACAGAACTGGGTCACAATGTCCTACTTATTATAACAGACTGGGGTACAATGTTCTACTTATTATAGCCGACTGGGTCACAATGTCCTACTTATTATAGCCGACTGGGTACAATGTCCTACTTATTATAGCCGACTGGGTCACAATGTCCTACATATTATAGCCGACTGGGTCACAATGTCCTACTTATTATAGCCGAATGGGTCACAATGTCCTACTTATTATAGCCGACTGGGTCACAATGTCCTACATATTATAGCCGACTGAGTACAATGTTCTACCTTTTATAGCCGACTGGGTCACAATGTCCTACTTATTATAGCCGACTGGGTCACAATGTCCTTCTTCTTATAACCGACTGGGTTACAATGTCCTACTTACAATGACCAAGTGGGGTCAATCGTCCTCCTTCTGATCCCCCAGTGGGGTAAAATATCCTCCTTAAAACGGTCGAGTGGGGTAAAATGTCCTGTTTATAACGATTGAGTGAGTACAATGTCCTCCCTACAATGACCAAGTGAGGAAAATTTTCCTCCTTATAATGCCTGAATGGGTACAATTTCCTCCTTATGATGCCTGAGTTGGGTACAATTCCCTTCTTATGATGCCTAAGGTGGGTACAATTTCCTCCTTATAATGCCTGAGTTGGGTACAATTTCCTCCTTATAATGCCTGAGTTGGGTACAATTTCCTCCTTAAAATGCCTGAGTTGGGTACAATTTCCTTTTTATAATGCCTGAGTTGGGTATAATTTCCTCCTTATAATGCCTGAGTTGGGTACAATTTCCTCCTTATAATGCCTGAGTTGGGTACAATTTCCTTCTTATAATGCCTGAGTTGGGTACAATTTCCTCCATATGATGCCTGAGTTGGGTACAATTCCCTTCTTATGATGCCTAAGGTGGGTACAATTTCCTTTTTATAATGCCTGAGTTGGGTACAATTTCCTCCATATGATGCCTGAGTTGGGTACAATTCCCTTCTTATGATGCCTAAGGTGGGTACAATTTCCTTTTTATAATGCCTGAGTTGGGTATAATTTCCTCCTTATAATGCCTGAGTTGGGTACAATTTCCTCCTTATAATGCCTGAGTTGGGTACAATTTCCTTCTTATAATGCCTGAGTTGGGTACAATTTCCTCCTTATGATGCCTGAGTTGGGTACAATTCCCTTCTTATGATGCCTAAGGTGGGTACAATTTCCTTTTTATAATGCCTGAGTTGGGTACAATTTCCTCCTTATAATGCCTGAGTTGGGTACAATTTCCTCCTTAAAATGCCTGAGTTGGGTACAATTTCCTTTTTATAATGCCTGAGTTGGGTATAATTTCCTCCTTATAATGCCTGAGTTGGGTACAATTTCCTCCTTATAATGCCTGAGTTGGGTACAATTTCCTTCTTATAATGCCTGAGTTGGGTACAATTTCCTCCATATAATGCCTGAATGGGTACAATTTCCTCCATATAATGCATGAGTTGGGTACAATTTCCATCTTATAATGCCTGAGTTGGGTACAATTTCCTCCATATAATGCCTGGATGGGTACAATTTCCTCCTGATGATGCCTGAGTTGGGTACAATTTCCTCCTTATAATGCCTGAGTTGGGTACAATTTCCTCCTTATAATGCCTGAGTTGGGTACAATTTCATTTTTATAATGCCTGAATTGGGTACTATTTCCTTTTTATAATGCCTGAATGGGTACAATTTCCTCCTTATAATGACTGAGTTGGGTACTATTTCCTCCTGATGATGACTGAGTTGGGTACTATTTCCTCCTTATAATGCCTGAATGGGTACAATTCCCTCCTTATAATGCCTGAGTTGGGTACTATTTCCTCCTTATGATGCCTGCGTTGGGTACAATTTCCTCCTTATAATGCCTGAGTTGGGTACAATTTCCTCCTTATAATGCCTGAGTCTGGTACTATTTCCTCCTTATAATGCCTGAGTTGGGTACAATTTCCTCCTTATAATGCCTGAGTTGGGTACAATTTCCTCCTTATAATGCCTGAGTTGGGTACAATTTCCTCCTTATTTCCTCCTTATAATGCATATAATGCATTAGTTGGGTATAATTTCCTCCTTATAATGCCTGAGTTGGATACAATTTCCTCCTTATAATGCCTGAGTTTGATACAATTTCCTTCTTATAATGCCTGAATTGGGTACAATTTCCTCCATATAATACCTGAGTTGGGTACTATTTCCTCCTTATAATGCCTGAGTTGGGTACAATTTCCTCCTTATAATGCCTGAGTTGGGTACAATTTCCTCCTTATAATGCCTGAGTTGGGTACTATATCCTACTTATAATGCCTGAATTTGGTACTATTTCCTCCTGATGATGCCTGATTGGGTACAATTTCCTCCTTATAATGCCTGATTGGGTACAATTTCCTCCTTATAATGCCTGAGTTGGGTACTATTTCCTCCTTATAATGCCTGAGTTGGGTACTATTTCCTCCTTATAATGCCTGAGTTGGGTACAATTTCCTCCTTATGATGCCTGAGTTGGGTACTATTTCCTCCTTATAATGCCTGAGTTGGGTATTACTTCCTCCTTATTATGCATGCGCTGGGTACAATTTCCTCCTGATAATGCCTGAGTTGGGTACTCTTTCCTCCTGATAATGCCTGAGTTGGGTACTATATCCTCCCTATGATGCATGCGTTGGGTACAATTTCCTCCATATAATGCATGAGTTGGGTACAATTTCCTCCCTATAATGCCTGAGTTGGGTACAATTTCCTCCTTATAATGCCTGAGTTGGGTTCCATTTCCTCCTTATCATGCCTGAGTTGGGTACTATTTCCTCCTTATAATACCTGAGTTGGGTACTATTTCCTACTGATGATGCCTGAGTTGGGTACTATTTCCTCCTTATAATGCATGAGTTGGGTACAATTTCCTCCTGCTGATGCCGGAGTTGGGTATAATTTCCTTCTGATAATGCCTGAGTTGGGTACTATTTCCTCCTTATAATGCCTGAGTTGGGTACTACTTCCTCCTTATTATGCATGCGTTGGGTACAATTTCCTCCTGATGATGCCTGAGTTGGGTACAATTTCCTCCTGATAATGCCTGAGTTGGGTACAATTTCCTCCTTATAATGCCTGAGTTGGGTATCATGCCTGTTGGGTACCATTTCCTCCTTATAATGCCTGAGTTGGGTACAATTTCCTCCTGATGATGCATGAGTTGGGTACAATTTCCTCCATATAATGCATGAGTTGGGTACAATTTCCTCCCTATAATGCCTGAGTTGGGTAGAATTTCCTCCTTATAATGACTGAGTTGGGTACAATTTCCTTCTTATAATGCCTGAATGGGTACAATTTCCTTCTTATAATGCCTGAGTTGGGTACAATTTCCTCCATATAATGCATGAGTTGGGTACAATTTCCTCCTCATGATGCCGGAGTTGGGTATAATTTCCTCCATATAATGCATTAGTTGGGTACAATTTCCTCCTGATAATGCCTGAGTTGGATAAAATTTTCTCCTTATAATGCCTGAGTTTGGTACAATTTCCTTCTTATAATGCCTGAGTTGGGTACAATTTCCTCCATATAATGCCTGAATGGGTACAATTTCCTCCATATAATGCATGAGTTGGGTACAATTTCCTTCTTATAATGCCTGAGTTGGGTACAATTTCCTCCATATAATGCCTGAATGGGTACAATTTCCTCCTTATGATGCCTGAGTTGGGTACAATTTCCTCCTTATAATGCCTGAGTTGGGTACAATTTCATTTTGATAATGCCTGAGTTGGGTACAATTTCCTCCTTAAAATGCCTGAGTTGGGTACAATTTCCTGCTTATAATGCATGTGTTGGGTACAATTTCCTTCTTATAATGCCTGTTGGGTACTATTTACTCCTTATAATGCCTGAGTTGGGTACAATTTCCTCTTGAGGAGGCTTGAGTTGGGTACAATTTCCTCCTGATAATGCCTGAGTTGGGTACTGTTTCCTCCTTATAATGCTTGAGTTGGGTACCATTTCCTCCTGATGATGCCTGAGTTGGGTACAATTTCATTTTGATAATGCCTGAGTTGGGTACAATTTCCTCCTGATAATGCCTGAGTTGGGTACTATTTCCTCCTTATAATGCCTGAGTTGGGTACTATTTCCTCCTTATAATGCCGGAGTTTGGTAAAATTTCTTCCTTATGGTGCCTGAGTTGGGTACTATTTCCTTCTTATAATGCCTGAGTTGGGTACTACTTCCTCCTTATGATGCATGCACTGGGTACAATTTCCTCCTGATGATGCCTGAGTTGGGTACAATTTCCTCCTGATAATGCCTGAGTTTGGTACTATTTCTTCCTGATGATGCCTGAGTTGGGTACAATTTCCTCCTTATAATGCCTGAGTTTGGTACTATTTCTTCCTGATGATGCCTGAGTTGGGTACTATTTCCTCCTTATAATGGCTGAGTTGGGTACAATTTCTTCCTTATAATGCCTGAGTTGGGTGCAATTTCCTCCTTATAATGCCTGAATGGGTACAATTTCCTCCTGATGATGCCTGAGTTGGGTACAATTTCCTCCTGATAATGCCTGAGTTGGGTACAATTTCCTCCTTATAATGCCTGAATGGGTACAATTTCCTGCTGATAATACCTGAGTTGGGTACTATTTCCTCCTGATAATGCCTGAGTTGCGTACAATTTCCTCCTTATAATGCCTGAGTTGGGTACAATTTCCTCCTTATAATGCCTGAGTTGGGTACAATTTCCTCCTTATAATGCCTGAGTTGGGTACTATTTCTTCCTTATAATGCCTGAGTTGGGTACTATTTCCTCCTTATAATGCCTGAATGGGTACAATTTCCTCCTGATAATGCCTATGTTGGGTACAATTTCCTCCATATAATGCATGAGTTAGGTACAATTTCCTTCTTATAATGCCTATGTTGAGTACAATTTCCTCCATATGATGCCTGAGTTTGGTACAATTTCCTCCTTATAATGCCTGAATGGGTACAATTTCCTCCTTATAATGCCTGAATTGGGTACAATTTCCTCCTTATAATGCCTGAGTTGGGTACTATTTCCTCCTTATAATGCCTGAGTTGGGTACAATTTCCTCCTTATAATGCCTGAGTTGGGTACTACTTCCTCCTTATAATGCCTGCGTTGGGTACCATTTCCTCTTGATGATGGCCATGTGGAGGTACCTTGTCCACCTTTTAATGGCCAATTGGGATACGATACCCTTCTTATAATGACCGAATGGGGTACATTATCCTTCTTACAACGACCAAATTGGGTACAATGTCCTCTATTCAATGACTGAGTGGGGTGCAAAATCCACTATACAATGACCGACTGGGATTTAATGTCCTCGATAATGACGTGTAGGTGCAATGGCCTCCTTCCAATGGCCAAGTCAGGTGCAATATCCTCTATTCAATGACTGAGTGGGGTGCAAAGTCCACTATACAATGACCGACTGGGATTTAATGTCCTCTTGATAACTACGTGTAGGTGCATTGTCCTCCTTCCAATGGCCAAGTCAGGTGCAATGTCATACTTATAATTACCGACTAGATACAATGTCTTTCTTACAATGGTTGATTGGGGTACGTTGGCCTCCTATAATGGCCAAGTTGGGTACAATGTCCTCTTTACAATTGCCGAATAAGGTTATATATTCTACATATAATGTCCTAATAGGGTACGCTATCCTCCTTATAATGGTCGAGTAGGGTGCAATGTCGTTCTAGCGATAGCCGAGTGGGGTACAATGTCCTCTTTATGACGTCCTAGTGGGGTACAATGTCGTTCTTACTATGGTTGAATGAGGTAGAATTCCTTCTTACGATGGCCGTGTGGGGAACAATATATGGCCAAGTCGTGTATATTTTCCTTTTTAATGGCCGAGTGGGTTAAAATGCCCACTTTACGATGGCTGAATAGAGTACAATGTTCTCTTCATGATGGTCCAGTTGGGGGGGAGTCCTCCATGAAATGGCCGAGTGGGGTGCATTGTCCTGTTTATACTGGCCGATTGGGGTAAAATGATCTTATGATATTTGAATGAGGTACAATTCCTTCCTTACAATAGTCATGTAGGGCTCCATATCCGCTATAATGACTAAGTGGGGTACAATGTCTTTATGATGACCAAGTGGCGTACATTGTTCTCCTTTTAATAAGCCTATTGGGGTACCCTGTCCTCCTTTTAATGACTGAGTTAGGTACAATGTCCCCTTTATGATGGCCAAGTAGAGTACAATGTCGTTCTAATAATAACCGAATGTGGTACAATGACCTCCTTACAATGGCCAAATGGGGTAAACTTTCCTTCGTACATTGACTGTGAGGGTATTATATCCTCTTAACGATGGCCAAGAGGGATAAAATGTCCTCTTATGATGACGAAATAAAGAACAAATGAATCATGACGACTACATAGATTGGTCAGATATTAGTCTTCTTATTCGTTATAAAGCATGGTACTATGTGTACCCTACGATTCGCAACCAGTGGAAAATTTTTCACTTGAGAAATGTCACAATTGTAAGCACTTAATTGTTATAGTGGGCGTGCTGTTCTCAAGCAAATTCACGGGTCTTCAACCGAACCAAATCTACAAGGTATCAGTCAGTGCCTTTAACGACCTCGGTAGCAGTGATGTTACAACTGTCTTCTTCAATATGGCTTCGGGTTAGTAGTCCATCTTCATGTTACATTTCCTGGAGAAACTGATCTTAATTTCATATACGACAAGTGAAAACACTGGTAAATATGATACTGTACATATGATCTGGTTCACGCGAGGGCGTTCCTTTCCATGCTGCCGCCATGGTAACAATCAACCGTGATTACAGGATATTTGTGTGTATTAACATGTTCAATTAACAGTTCTTTTGACATCTATAAAACATAATAAAACCACCCTGCTCTCCTATGAAAAGTTGTATGATAGGGGATAAAGGTGTATTGCCTTAATTTTAATTCCAATAACATAATAGCAATCTTTTCCACGTTTCTGTTTTTTTTATTATTATTATTGTTATAGGTAGTTATTGGACTTTGTATTCCTTTCAGTGTCTGAATTTCTAATTCGGTATCATTGTAGAGATCAATCATGTCCCAGAGTAACACATGGATACATTTCTGTATAATGATATTACTGATAGGAATTGTAATGTATGTATAGTTTTAGCTGAAACAGTTTCATAACAGACTTTCGTTCAACTTGAAAACGGGAAATGTGTGCCAGTCCAATAGCAGACTTTGCTGTGTCAACTCATAATCAAGTATTGAAGTGTAATGAGTGAAGAGCGATATAATTCCATGATACAATACATCATAATTAAGTAAATAGCATTTGTATGTATTGTATGATTTCAGATGAGACGGAAGCTGGATTACCATACTTCCTAGTCGGTTTGACTTTGATTGTTGTGGCAGTTGTTATGCTTTCTATATTTGGTGTTATAGGGATCCTGATGAAGGGAGGTAAGTGTTCTTACTCTACCCTACACAGGTCTGTAATTATTTAATTTACAAATGATACAGGTAAACGGCTACACTTTTTTTCAAAACCAAGCAAAATTTAAGAAAAAATGGTATTTTGTCATTTATATTTATAATTATGTTGAGTTGACATATGTATGTCTTGATTTTATCAAAATGATGGTCATTTCTAGTGTCTATTGTCCTCAAAACAGTCAAGGTCAAATATGGATGTGTGTCGTAAGGAGACATCGGCAGTTAGAATCATGTAAGTTCGAGTGTAAAGGGCAACACCATCTGTAACGGTCATATAAGTACAGGTATCTAGAGACACCATCAGCCAGGGTCATATAACAGGTATCTAGACCCATCATCAAACATGGTCGAAGGAGAACAGGTAGCTACAGACACCATCAGCCAGGGTCATATAACAGGTATCTAGAGACACCATCAGCCAGGGACATATAACAGGTATCTAGAGACACGATCAACCAGGGTCTTAGAAGAACAGGTATCTAGAGACATTTACAGCCACGGTCATATAAGTGCAGGTATCTAGAGACATCATCAAACATGGTCGTAGGAGAACAGGTAGCTAGAGACACCATCAGCCAGGGTCATATAACAGGTATCCAGAGACATCATCAAACAGGGTCATAGGAGAACAGGTATCTAGAGACACCATCAGCCAGGGTCATATAGGTACAGTTAGCTAGAGACATCATCAGCCAGGGTCATATAAGTACAGGTAGCTAGACACCAACAGCCAGGGTCATATAGGTACAGGTAGCTAGAGACACCATCAGCCAGGGTCATATAACAGGTATCTAGAGACACCATCAGCCAGGGTCATATAACATGTATCTAGAGACACCATCAGCCAGGGTCATATAAGTACAGGTATCTAGAGACACCATCAAACAGGGTCGTAGGAGAACAGGTATCTAGAGACACCATCAGCCAGGGTCATATAACAGGTATCCAGAGACATCATCAAACAGGGTCGTAGGAGAACAGGTATCTAGAGACACCATCAGCCAGGGTCATATAGGTACAGTTAGCTAGAGACATCATCAGCCAGGGTCATATAAGTACAGGTAGCTAGACACCAACAGCCAGGGTCATATAGGTACAGGTAGCTAGAGACACCATCAGCCAGGGTCATATAACAGGTATCTAGAGACACCATCAGCCAGGGTCATATAACATGTATCTAGAGACACCATCAGCCAGGGTCATATAAGTACAGGTATCTAGAGACACCATCAGTCAGGGTCATATAACAGGTATCTAGAGACACCATCAGCCAAGGTCATTTAGCAGGTATCTAGAGACACCATCAGCCAGGGTCATATAAGTACAGGTATCTGGAGACAACATCAGCCAAGGGTCATATAACAGGTATCTAGAGACACCATCAAACAGGGTCGTAGAAGAACAGGTAGCTAGAGACACCATCAGCCAGGGTCATATAACAGGTATCTAGAGACACCATCAGCCAGGGTCATATAAGTACAGGAATCTGAAGACACCATCAGCCAGAGTCATATAACAGGTATCTAGAGACACCATCAGCCAGGGTCATATAACAGGTATCTAGAGACACCATCAGCCAAGGTCATATAACAGGTACCTAGAGACACCATCAGGCAGGGTCATATAACAGGTATCTAGAGACACCATCGGCCAAGGTCATTTAGCAGGTATCTAGAGACACCATCAGCCAGGGTCGTATAAGTACAGGTATCTGGAGACACCATCAGCCAGGGTCATATAAGTACAGGTAGCTAGAGACACCATCAGCCAGGGTCATATAACAGGTATCTAGAGACACCATCAGCCAAGGTCATATAACAGGTACCTAGAGACACCATCAGTCAGGGTCATATAACAGGTATCTAGAGACACCATCAGCCAGGGTCATATAAGTACAGGTATCTAGAGACACCATCAGCCAGGGTCATATAAGTACAGGTAGCTAGAGACACCATCAGCCAGGGTCATATAACAGGTATCTAGAGACACCATCTGCCAAGGTCATATAACAGGTAGCTAGAGACACCATCAGTCAGGGTCATATAACAGGTATCTAGAGACACCATCGGCCAAGGTCATTTAGCAGGTATCTAGAGACACCATCAGCCAGGGTCGTATAAGTACAGGTATCTGGAGACACCATCAGCCAGGGTCATATAAGTACAGGTAGCTAGAGACACCATCAGCCAGGGTCATATAACAGGTATCTAGAGACACCATCAGCCAAGGTCATATAACAGGTACCTAGAGACACCATCAGTCAGGGTCATATAACAGGTATCTAGAGACACCATCGGCCAAGGTCATTTAGCAGGTATCTAGAGACACCATCAGCCAGGCTCATATAACATGTATCTAGAGACACCATCAGCCATGGTCATATAAGTACAGGTATCTAGAGACATCATCAACCAGGGTCGTAGGAGAACAGGTATCTAGAGACACCATCAGCCAGGGTCATATAGCAGGTATCTAGAGACACCATCAAACAGGGTCATATAAGTACAGGTATCTGGAGACACTATCAGCCAGGGTCATATAACAGATACCTAGAGACACCATCAAACAGGGTCATATAAGTACAGGTATCTGGAGACACCATCAGCCAGGCTCATATAACAGGTATCTAGAGACACCATCAAACAGAGTCGTAGGAGAACAGGTAGCTAGAGACACCATCAGCCAGGGTCATATAACAGGTATCTAGAGACACCATCAACCAGGGTCGTAGGAGAACAGGTATCTAGAGACACCATCAGCCAGGGTCATATAACAGGTATCTAGAGACACCATCAGCCAGGGTTATATAGGTACAGTTAGCTAGAGACATCATCAGCCAGGGTCATATAACAGGTATCTAGAGACACCATCAGCCAGGGTCATATAAGTACAGGTAGCTAGAGACACCATCAGCCAGGGTCATATAACAGGTATCTAGAGACACCATCAGCCAAGGTCATATAACAGGTATCTAGAGACACCATCAGTCAGGGTCATATAACAGGTATCTAGAGACACCATCAAACAGGGTCGTAGGAGAATAGGTAGCTAGAGACACCATCAGCCACGGTCATATAACAGGTATCTAGATACACCATCAGCCAAGGTCATATAACAGGTATCTAGAGACACCATCAGCCAGGGTCATATAACAGGTATCTAGAGACACCATCAGCCATGGTCATATAAGTACAGGTAGCTAGACACCAACAGCCAAGGTCATAAAGGTACAGGTAGCTAGAGACACCATCAGCCAGGGTCATATAACAGGTATCTAGAGACACCATCAACCAGGGTCATATAAAAGGTATCTAGAGACACCATCAGCCAGGGTCATATAACAGGTATCTAGAGACACCATCAGCCAGGGTCATATAACAGGTATCTAGAGACACCATCGGCCAAGGTAATTTAGCAGGTATCTAGAGACACCATCAGCCAGGGTCGTATAAGTACAGGTATCTGGAGACACCATCAGCCAGGGTCATATAAGTACAGGTAGCTAGAGACACCATCAGCCAGGGTCATATAACAGGTATCTAGAGACACCATCTGCCAAGGTCATATAACAGGTACCTAGAGACACCATCAGTCAGGGTCATATAACAGGTATCTAGAGACACCATCGGCCAAGGTCATTTAGTAGGTATCTAGAGACACCATCAGCCAGGGTCGTATAAGTACAGGTATCTGGAGACACCATCAGCCAGGGTCATATAAGTACAGGTAGCTAGAGACACCATCAGCCAGGGTCATATAACAGGTATCTAGAGACACCATCAGGCAAGGTCATATAACAGGTACCTAGAGACACCATCAGTCAGGGTTATATAACAGGTATCTAGAGACACCATCGGCCAAGGTCATTTAGCAGGTATCTAGAGACACCATCAGCCAGGGTCGTATAAGTACAGGTATCTGGAGACACCATCAGCCAGGGTCATATAACAGGTATCTAGAGACACCATCAAACAGGGTCGTAGGAGAACAGGTAGCTAGAGACACCATCAGCCAGGGTAATATAACAGGTATCTAGAGACACCATCAGCCAAGGTCATATAACAGGTAACTAGAGACACCATCAGTCAGGGTCATATAACAGGTATCTAGAGACACCATCAAACAGGGTCGTAGGAGAATAGGTAGCTAGAGACACCATCAGCCACGGTCATATAACAGGTATCTAGATACACCATCAGCCAAGGTCATATAACAGGTATCTAGAGACACCATCAGCCAGGGTCATATAACAGGTATCTAGAGACACCATCAGCCATGGTCGTAGGAGAACAGGTAGCTAGAAATACCATCAGCCAGGGTCATATAACAGGTATCTAGAGACACCATCAGCCAGGGTCATATAACAGGTATGTAAAGACATTAACAGCCATCGTCATACAAGGACAGGTATCTAGAGACCAGCCAGGGTCATATAAGTACAGTTAGCTAGAGACACCATCAGCCAGGGTAATATAACAGGTATCTAGAGACACCATCAGCCAAGGTCATATAACAGGTATCTAGAGACACCATCAAACAGGGTCGTAGGAGAATAGGTAGCTAGAGACACCATCAGCCACGGTCATATAACAGGTATCTAGATACACCATCAGCCAAGGTCATATAACAGGTATCTAGAGACACCATCAGCCAGGGTCATATAACAGGTATCTAGAGACACCATCAGCCATGGTCATATAAGTACAGGTAGCTAGACACCAACAGCCAAGGTCATAAAGGTACAGGTAGCTAGAGACACCATCAGCCAGGGTCATATAACAGGTATCTAGAGACACCATCAGCCAGGGTCATATAACAGGTATCTAGAGACACCATCAGCCAGGGTCATATAACAGGTATCTAGAGACACCATCAGCCAGGGTCATATAAGTACAGGTATCTAGAGACACCATCAGCCAGGGTCATATAAGTACAGGTAGCTAGAGACACCATCAGCCAAGGTCATA